CAAATGTGATAGTAGGCTTGCACTGATTAGTCTCTCAATGAAGGTAGTCTGGTAATAAATCCATGAGAGTTTTGTATTTTGAGAGGCCAAGATGATTTTTTTTTTTTGCATACAGAACTGCAGCTGGTTCAAAAAGGGTTGACCGTCTGTAGGCAGGTAAAAGTGGAAGCTTAATACCTGTTCATGAAATCTAGGATAAGTAAAACTGCTGAAGTGACTGCTGAGTTCTCTAAGTTAAAGCTACATCAAATATTTATTCACTCTTTCCAATAACATTGAGGGACAACAGATGACAATTAAGTGTTCTGTCACTGCAAATTGCTTCTAAGCTAATTTAAAGATAGAATAGTATGATAAGCCAAAGAAATACTAGTTTGTAATTAAACCCAGATTACGCACTAGATTAATTAACTCTCTAAAGCCATTAATGACATATATTTTTATTCAGATGATGAACAATTATAGCTGTAAGGTACTTGCATTTGATCAAGATTAGTAGGGCAAAGCCTTTTCTAGAAGTGAATTAGCTCAGGGTGGTTCTACACTTCATATGCTCTCTCCAAAGCACCTGAGGAACACACACTGTTACCTCAAAATTGTCAAACCAGCTATCATTTGAAAGACTTAACTTAAATTTCAACAGAAGTTTAGTGCTAAACTGCCAGTGAGAGTTTGGAGGCTCCTGCAATTTGTAAGATCAGACAAAGAGATTCATATTTAACCACATGCGTATGACTAACATACAGTTACAAAAAGAAATGCATAAAATCTTACTTCTTCAACCTTCATTAAATCAGGATTTTTAAAGATATAAAGTGGACAATAGCAGCATCAAAGATCTCATTTTATAACTTCAAGGGTCTATGCAAACCTTCTATTTTCTCATAAATAACAACAGATTAGCTTTTGGCAGAATAGATTGGAAGTCTGTGTGGCACATTACATCTCATTTTAGTGAGGAAGGAAGCTAGGAGAACTTTGGAATAGAAGAGAGAAAGCTGGATTTGAGTTTCTGAAATAAACCCTCAAAAAAGAGTGTCGTGCCATTCCATTTGTCTGGTAAAGACTTCTGGTAGAAACCATGGGGAAATGCAAATATAGGAAGCAGCATCTGTAAAATCCATTTTAAAATCTCAGCACCATCACTACACAGAACTCACTGTTCTCTCACACTCAGTGACACCGTCCATGCTGAACTTTCAATGAGAAGAGGAAAAAAACCCAAAAACAACTCTTATTTGCTTTACCTTCATTAAATATTTTTGTCTGTATTTTGCTTTTCATTGAATTGCAAAGGCCTGAAGTTACATGTTTGCCTGGATCTTCTGCTCATGAGTTTTTCTTATACATACACCTAGAGTTATACTACACTGCTGCAGAAAGTGCGTCATAGGACACACAATACGAAATGGTTTCAGTTGCTCATGGTTTAGAGCCTAAGTTACCTTCAAAGCATTGGAGAATAAGGAAGAAGATATGCTAGGATTATGCTATGATTATGAAGTATGGCTGTTTCTAGCATAGAATTCAAAGAAACCATTCCAGACATGTACCAGTCAAATTTTTGTATGATGACTATATATATTTTTAAATATCCAAGTTCATGCAACAACAAGCCTTTAAACTGAGATTCTAGGTCTGACTGGCAAAAGGTTCAGTACAGATACAACCTAAGGGAAATTCCATATTTCTTGGTGTGTGTCTGAAGACATGCAAACATTGAGGAAGTGAGGGAGAGAGGAGTTGGCAGGATCATCGTACAGTACATTGCCACCTGCGGTTGTCACTTTGATCATCCTCACCACTCTTACTCTGTGCTGTCAATGCCAAATGAGACTGTATCACTTGTCTTGATGAGAGCAAGCATAGCTTTGCCTGCAGCTGACTAGGACTTTCTGCAGTAGTAAAGTATCTGTTACATCAACTTTTAACCTTCACTCAGAAAAGCAGAATAAACCCCATGGGCTCAGCTACAACTTTTATTGTGGGATTTGCTCAGAGGCTTGCTATAGCAACATATCCAAGTACCAGTTAGACTTAACCTTGCTTACTCAGAGAGCCAATAATACATGAGACAGACTGTTAAAGTGTAGAGATATATAGTTATAGTATAAGGTCTAAGCCATTGAAACCTCATCAGATGGTCAGTGTTTGCCAAGCTGAATTAAGTGGGATTTCTTGAACTGCAAGGGTAACTTTGTGGTGCCCTCAAAATGGCTAAACAGCTTTAAGAAATTAGAGACTCTTTTGCCTCCTCCATTTGGCAGAAAGAAAAATATTTCCTTCTCTTTGTAGCAAATCCCAAAATTCTTACGATTCTAATTATCAGAACAATTGGAAATTCTTTCTATCAGTTAAATACATGCATGGAAAAAAAATCCAGCTTTTTACTTTGTTAAGGTACAGGCTTTGCTCTCAGGATGTGTCAAGTTTTCTGTGATATCCAGAGAGTAGAGGGAGAAGTATTAAGATTGCAGCACTTCCTACAGTTTATTAAGATGTTTATGAAAATTATTTCCTGTTTTCAAAAAGATGCAGCATCCAAAAGTGTTGTTCCCTTTGTAAGCCCACACTGTAGGAAATATTAAGGGTTTTCTCTTCTCCTGGACAAACAGCCTCTGTGAGGTCACACAACCTTCTAGACATATAATAATGACAAAGACATTTTTGGATGATGATGCATAAGTGTTGCTTACACATTCCCTACATTATTTCTACTTTCTCTGTTCCCATCACCACCCTGGAAAGTTTATTAGTGACAGGATAGAGGACTTTTACATAGAACTCTTCTAGTTCTATGTTTTACATACAGGATAGAGAAGTTTTACATAGAACTGTTCTAGCAACATGTAGCTATTTTGTTCTATAGGTACTTTCAGGACTTTAGCAAGGCTTTTGGCACTGTCTCCCATAACATCCTTGTGGTTAAGCTTATGAAGTGTGGATGGTGAGATGGACTGAGAACCAGTTAAACAATAGAGCTTACAAGGTCATGATTAAGGGTGTAGAGTCTGGCTGGACACCTGTACCTAGTGGAGTCCCCCAGGGATCAGTGCTGGGTCCAGTGCTGTTAAACATCTTCATCAGTGACCTGGATGAGGGGGCAGAGTGTATCCTCAGCAAGTTTGCTGATGATACAAAACTGGGAGGATTGGCTGATAAACCAGAAGGCTATGCAGCCATTCAACAAGACCTGGACAGACTGGAGAGCTGAGCAAAGGGGAACATAATAAGTGTAGAGTTCTGCCCTTGGGAAGGAACAACCACATGCACCAGTACAGGTTAGGAGCTGACCTGCTAGAAAGCAGCTCTGTGGAGAAGGACCTTGGAATCCCGGTGGACAAGTTATCCTTGAGGCAGCAGTGTGCTCCTATGGCCAAGAAGGCAAACGGTATCTTGGGTTGCATTAAGTGTGTCTAGCAGGTCGCGAGAGGTTATCTTCCCCCTCTAGTCTGCCCTAGGGAGACCCCACCTGGAGTATTGTGTCCCATTCTGGGCTCCCCAGTTCAAGAGGGACAGGGATTTACTTGAGAGTCCAACACAGGGCTATGAGGATGATTAAGGGACTGGAACATCTGTCTTATGAGAAAAGGCTGAGAGACCTGGGGCTTTTTCGTCTAGAGAAGACAACACTGAGAGGAGATCTTAGTAAGGTGTACAAATACCTGACGGGTGGGAGTCAAGAGGAGTGGACCAGTCTCTTTTCAGTGGTGCCCTGTGATAGGATGAGTGGCAATGGACAAAAACTGGAACACAAGAAATTCCACCTCAACACGAGGAAAAACTTCTTTACTGAAAGGGTTACCGAGCACTGTACCAGGCTGCCCAGAGAGGTTGTGGAGTCTCCTTCTTGGAAACTTTCAAGACCTGTCTGGATGCATTTCTGTGTGACCTGCCCTAGGTGATCCTGCTCTGGCAGTGGAGTTAAGAGTCCATGATCTTCAGAGGTTCCTTCCAACCCCTACTATTCTATGATTCTACGACTTAGGTTTAGGATCCTGAAAGGTCTATCTTCCTCTGATATCTGCTTGAAAGGATAATCTATTTTGTATAAACCCTGCTTATATTACTCAGCAGGTTTTTGCATGCAATTAACAGATGTGATTGTGAAGGACCAATGCTCCTTTTTATGAAAGGGCTGCTTAATGTTCTACTCTCACGCCATAAATATAGTGAAAATTATTCAGGTTTCTCACAAATGTAATAAAAAAATTCAATATTGCTTTTAAAATTCTATTCTTCAATATTCTGTTTCTACCATGTTGAAAACTATTTCATTTCTGGAGAAAAAAACAAAAGGTTCATTTTTAAAATAGCATGACAATATTTTAATAAGAAAACTCTGGAACTCTGGAACTCAAATAAACACTACCTATGCAAAAAGGAATCATACCTCTTCCTAATATAAACAGAGGAATTAATAAAATGAAACATAATATAATATAAAAAGGATAGTCAAACTTATTTGCTATTAAAAACAGACAGTACATCAAGGTTTAAAATATAAATATCAAAATTACTGCACAGTTAGCCAACTAGCTTTGTTTGACAGCATGATTTTACATCATTGTGCAACAATATGCTCTGGCAGATTAAACTCCACAAAATCCATGATGTGTACCTTTTCTGTTTACATTATAAATCATCCTACAACAGTAAGATAATTGTTCTGGCGTATGTATAAAACATCATACAGTAATACAACTCATGCTTTATGAAAGCTGGAAAGAAGGAAAGAATAGAGAACGTCTCAATGCTTCCCTCACACCTTTGACTCAAAGAAATATAAGCAACAGATATTTGCTCTCCCATTTGCAGTCATGCAGAGTAAGTAGTTCCAAGTATACACATACAAGAGACACGATATATTAAGAGGGTCTGTTATAAATAGCTATTAGTTTTATAGGCAGCTTCAAATATACAATCTTCAGTGTGTCTTAAAAAAATTAATGTCCCAGTGTAGTCAATAAAAAATAAGAGTTCATCCATATGTAAATATACTTAACTAGAATGTGGCTCCGTGAATGTCCCGAAGAGTTTGTCCCAGTGGGTGAAATAAGGAGCGTAGTTTGACTTGAATTTCAGATGATGGAGATCATGATGTGGTGCTCCTCCATATAAACCAAAAGGCACAAGTCGGTGAGTTGACCATGGAAGATCATATCCTGAATGGTCCTCCACTGACAACCAAATGTTTACAAGGAAGAAAATAATTTCTGTCAAAGGATGGCATCTGAGGAGCACTGGGTTGATAGCAGCAAAAAATCCCAGTGAGAGCAATTCCCATACACTGGAATACTGAGTAGTAAGAGCAAATGTTGACACATGCTTGTGATGCACCTTGTGGAAGGTCTTGTAGAGCCAAGGCACCTTGTGATGAAGCAAATGCCACAGAAAGTACTCAAAATCAAACAGAAGCAGGCAAACTCCTACTTCCAGCAGGACTTCAAGCAGCTCTGGAGCTATCACTGGTAGATTCATTGGTCTCCAGTACCAGTGGAGAAATGTCACCGGGAAGATCAAAACAGCATGATGATAAGCACTTTGAATAATGCAAGGCACCATCATTCCAAGAGTTGGATAGCTCTGTGGCTGGATTTTGTATTTTCTCAAGTTTGGTAGTCTAGTGCTTAAAAAGTCCAATGCAGTATATGGAAGAGAGAAAGCCATGTATGCTGTAAAAGAAAACAGCACTGGAAAAAACGGTGACCTGATCAATGCCTCGTTTGCTGTGACAAAGTCCCAAAGAGTCTGAAGGCACAACTTGTCCTGCTGATCATCCATCATGTAGCTGAGCAGCTCTCTGTCTGGCAGGCTGCAGTTCATGCTGATTGCAGTCTGAGTGATCTGTAAGTCCTGTAAGCTTTTATCTAACCTTCTCAAGGGAAAACTCCGCCCATCAGAAATCCTCCGTACTTGGTCATACATAGTTTAAAGGGGAAGCTGCCTTTCCTGTTACACGGAAGTCATATAATGCGTTACAATCTCCAAACAGAATTAGCTGACCAGGGTAATTACTGGAGCTCTACAAGGAGAGTTGCATGATAGGAAAAATTAAGCAGAAAAACAGAACTCCAACACTGGAATTCAGAGAAAGATCACTATTTTTCAATTGTGACATCTTTTCCTAACATTTTGCCTTTTTAGGTAAGGAAATACATCCAACCATTGACTTTTTAATGTGACTGCTACCAAAGATGTACATGTACCTAAACCCTAAGTCTGACTGTGGAGGTTTTATGGGTAATGGGTGTGTACAAACATTTTCTTAATGATCTCTTGGGTATACAACGGGCTAAGTCAAACCTTTATATTCTTCCCACCTGAATGTGGTGGCAGTAGCTTATCTCCACCTACTTTTAAGGTCATATCCTCCTTTATGCTCATGTATCTACTAGACAAAATCAACCTGACTTGACCAGATGCAAAATTGACCCAACAACTTTTGAAGAATGAAATATTTCCTAATTTCTGGGAAGAATACAAGGTAAAATCTCATTATGCTTCCAAACAGATACCTTGTCACAAGTATTACTGCATTATTATAATACTCACTCCACATGCCAACAGCTCTCTGAGCAATTTAATAGGGAAATAATCCTTTACCTAAAGTACCAAATTAACTTAAATAATTAAAAGATCCACTGGTTAGGGCTAAGTCCTTTAAAGGATCTTCCTTTAATCATAGGTAAGCACACAGTATTCAGAAGCTCTCAGGCTTGACTCCTTGAATTTCTAACCTGCTAAAAGTATTTCAGGGGTAAATTACGGAGTTTTTTATTTATCCACTAATACATCACTTCTTTTGTGCTTTTAGAAAAAGACAGACAAAGCTCTGAACATTTAGGGGAAAAGAGCTTGCCATCAGCTTCCTATGAACTCACCTCTTTTGTGGGTACACCATTTATTCTAATATTGGAAATGAGCTCAACTTCCTGGATGACTTTATTAGCTTTCTCAGACAATTTTAGTTCTTTGCTATTCAGAAAATAAATCTGATCGAGTTATATCCAAAAACTTAATCTCAAACTTCTAATTATATTTTATCCTGACCTCCATTTCATGATAAGGATATGAAAAAATGCATTTGTAACTCAATCATTATTTGGGGCTGAAAATATTCTTGAGAGATGCTTGCTGTTGATTTATGTAGTCACAATCAGAAATTAAGCCTCCCAGATGTGATATGTGATTCTCTATTTTACTAAAATTATGCAGGGACTGAATTTATTCTATAACGTATTCCAAGTCTGCCTAAACGGAGATGGCCAGAAACTGCTCAACTGCCTAAAGACACTCCTCTGGCTAATCCTTAATAGCCATCCAAAGTCTCTAAAAGTTTTAGAATGACTGCTGCCTATAAGCTAAAATTTAAAGAACAGGCATTTTGCCTGCAGATTAGGTCACAGAAAAATAGTAAGTCCCTTAAGGGAAAATAACGGAATTCTGCAGTGTTATTACTAGTATATTCTGGAACATAAAGCCCAAGTGAGGTGCAAGGTGAGCAGAACTTACCTGGGAGCCTGCTGCAGCCCCAAGCCGGGCTTGGCACAGCGCAGAGCTTGCAGCACAGCCCCTCTGCAGGGGCTCCTGGGGGTGGGCTCTGCTGGCACCCGGCTGGGTAGTGAGTCAGGCTCAGCGAGTGAGTATGCTCAGCAAAATTAATCCTCAGACATCAGAGAGGGCAAACTCTTACTTTGCAAATTGATTCCAGGCTGTTTGGCTTAGCCACCACAAAGCATTTATCATGCATTTCTGCTCTGCTAACATAGGTTTCTCTGCCAGTGCAAGGTACAATGTAAAGAAAAGACAAAGTACACTCAAATCCCTTCCGCACTTCATTCGGAAATACAACCCCAGCTTTTTTCACTCGGCTTACTATGCTGCCAAACTTCCCCATGTGTTACAAGACTCTAAACGGGTCTCTCAAAAACTCAAGACTCCTGCTACAGAGTTTAGGTTGAAGGGCACATAGTTTGGAATGAGGCCCCGCAAAGGGTCTTAAATAGATTCCACATGAGCACAAGATGCAAGCACCTACACCAGGCTGCGCTGTTAGGTACAAGCTGTAACGTAAACAGCAGAACATTAAGGGGGTAAGAAAATAAGGGAAAGTTAGCTGGAGGGAACATCAGGATCAACATACTGAAAATAATGTCACGGCGGCAGAGGCAAAATACCTTTTTGCTTCCTATTATCTTCCTATTCTCCCTCTCTATATGGTAGGATTATTGTTGTATCGCAGACAAGGCAACATCCTAGTGCTTGCTGAGCCTTCTACCAGAAAAAGGGTGCTAGGGAAGAGGGTTGTTAACTTGTTCAAGACAGTAGCAGGGAAGCAGGTTAGTAACCAGAGCAAAGGAAAGCAGAGGCAGTATCTTGTCCCGTTCCAAAAATCGTTCCTAAGCTGGAAATGTACAGTAAATCTGAGGTCCTCACATCCTAACTCACCTTACTCCACGAGCGTGAGCGCAGCGCCCAGCGATGCCGGCAGCGCTGCGAGGGTCCAGTGGCAGGAAATATTCCTCAAACTTCGTTGAAATGGTCAGATTTCACAGAATATGCCCTGCTTTGCAGCAGGACAAAAAGCTGGTAGGCACAGATCGGTCGCAGGGCTTGAGGTCAAAGTGATGAAGTTTTGTCAGGGAATGGAAAGATTAATTGCTGAAAGGCCTATGTTCACATATACTGAGATTCAGTTCCAGGATCTGAATCCAAAGAAGGGACATGAGCATCTCTTCCTTGCATCCTAGGTAAGCAGCTTGAGCCCCGAGATTTCGGGTATACTGAGTACTTGAGGATGAACAACACAGATTCCTCTTCAGTTTTGATTAAAAACTTCAGTCTAAACACAAGATACTTTTCTTAACAGAAATAACACATTGTCTTAATCAAAATATTTTCATGTGCATACTCCAGACACCCAACCAAGCTTCACTGAAAACCTTTCCAGCCAGCACAGAAAGAAAGCTTAATCAAAGGTCTTTTTAATGAATTCCTAACAATGGCTGGGGAAAGAAAGCTGCCAGCAAAGTAAATTGTTAATTCTCAAGCTTCACCTTATCAGGATCAGTTATGAAATTCTTTTATTCGGAACTTGTATTCTGTAGTGAGAAACTGATTTACATTCTCTTCAACTAAACACATTCATAATTTCTGGAGGAGTCAGAATGCAGTACAGACACTTTCCAGCTCAGTATCCTCAGAAAATAAGATGGAGCGGATCACGTTACAGGTATGGCTACTGTCCATCCAACCTTCACTGTTTTGGGTTTTTTAATTGATTATTTCACTGAAGGTATTTGAAAATAGCCTACTGGAGAAGAGAGACCACTATTAGAGTGCTCATGATGTGCAATGATACAAAATGAGTTTGTGTTTTATAAGGCATCAAAGAAAGGGAGAAGACACAATAAATGTAATTATAGGAAAATCTTCCACCAAGAGCCACTTCTCATTACATATCAGAAAACCTATTCAACCATCAAGGTTTCTTTCTCATATCTTACAGATTAAAGCCATTTGTAACTTTCAACTATACTAAAGTATTCTTGTTTCCTATTTGTTTTGGGGGTTTTTTTGTATGACACACTCACCATAAAGATTATTTTGTAGAAAACCGATTATTTTTTTTTCCCCAAGCTGACAAAACTTTCTCTTTCAGGGCCTCTGGGAGTAGGAGTTCTGTTTTACCACACATTCCTATACTCAGGCACTGCTATGTTGTTTTGAGTTGATATGTAAACTTCTGTCAGTGTTGTCACTAGCTACAGAATCATGAAACTGTAAAATATGCTCTGCACTGAGCCACTACATCACTCAGTAGGCACCACTAACACACGCTCGCTGCCATCCTTAGAGCTTTTGCATGAAATGAACAGTGTGAATGTACTTGCAGATGAGTACAAAAAATCCTTTTCAAGTTTCAAGCATATCATCCGAACAAAAACATGTTTATTTATGTCTGTGTATGCCCAATTGTGTTGTACATCTCTAAGTCCAAGCCCTGGATCATGCAGTCACTCCAGATGCACACAGGCCTGAGAGCCTGGCAATCTATCAGCTGAACACAGACTGCTTTCTTCTGGCTTTCTAGCATAGCATGATCACATCACCAAGTGCTGAAACTAGGTCAGCAGAAGGTCCCTGCCGCCCTCTGTTATGGTAGAACAACTTTATGTTATCCAAAGCTGACATTCAGCCAACCTTCAACATCATATATGTACATGTGTAACACAAAGATGTCTATAGAACAGGAAGTATGTGAGATCTGCTTTGAAAGTGTACCATTCATCACTGCTCATTCTTATTACCTCAAATTTCTCACTCTTCCTCTGTGTCCAGGGTGTCTTATTTTGCACTTTTCTTTCCATTGACACCTCTCCAAATTTATGTCACACAGTGCTTGTAACTTTAGCTAGCCAGGGAGAGCACAGCAGCTCACAATTCCCATAGTCATCTCTGCTCCAGTGAAGCAGAGAAACTCCATAATGGCTTTTGTGTAAAGCTTCCTCTATTCTGGCTTTATTTCCAGACACACAACTGGTTCATCAGCTGACAAAGCTGACAACACATAGCATTTAATCCTATGTGCTATCTTGACTGCACATCTACTGTATTCAGAATGTGCAGAAAGGTACAGCCTGAGTGTATTATTATTGAAGATGACAAAGATCAAAAGCTGGGTCTAACATGTCACAGTAAAGACTACTTCCCTGCCTTCCTATGTGATAAATGCTATTTATGAGATTACCAGACAGTCTGTTAAGCAATCCAATTACCCAGGGTTTTTAGAATGTGATACAAGAAGCTTTCACCACGCTAGTGCTTTGAAAGGAGCCTCACCTGAAGGCTTAAAAAATTATTCCGTCTTGTGAGCAGTTACTTACAATTGGTATCTTACTTAAAAGTCTCAGAGGAATCCCCCAAAACACCACAAACTGCTTTTTAGGCTCAGGAAAAGCCTCTCTAAGGAAAAAAGCAAAACAGAAGCTATTTTACTTTTTATTGCACTTGTTCTACAAAGAAAAACAGGCTTGGCTTTCTGGATTCTGTCCCAAAGAGTCACATGCCTTCATGAAAGAACAAGAAGTGAACCACAACACATCACTTCAATCTCCAAGCAGGTTTCATGTTTATTGAAATATTTCGGGCTTAAACATGATGTACATGGCTTTTACTGTATCACATACCCTCACAACTGCTAAGTTGTATTCCTACAGAAACTTTGTTTCAGTACAGCAAGGTGAAGCAATGGCTGCTACAAATACAAAGAGGTCCTGCCAGGAATTGCAACCAAAATACCATGAACCGCTTTTTCCTTAAACAAAGCCTGAAGATTCCCTGAGTCTGAATCATTAATTAAAAAAAGAAAAAAAAAACAAAAAAACAACCCCAAAACACCCTGATTTATGGCTCATGTATCTTCTTGCATTTTTTTTTTTTTTCTTTTTTTTTTTTTTTTTCTTTTTTTTTTTTTTTTTCTTTTTTTTTTTTTTTTTCTTACAAAAAAAACCCAAAACATTTGCTTCAGTTTAGAATGCATTATTTTCTATACCATGCAGAAAAGGTTTTTTTATCCTGCTGGGATTACTGTTAGAAACCTGGGTTGAATCCAACCATGCCACAGAAATTATCATCTGGACTGAGGAAACTGACGTGGAGATTGTTCATACATCTACATTTGGCATGGAACATTTGTGCAATTCAGAGAAGTCCAAGGCCTCTGCTTAGTCAATTGGGAGATCAAGGCACCTACAAGGCTACTTCGGAGCCTATAAGGCTTCAGATCCCTGAAGCAGATGTGAATCCTCTCCTCCCCTTAAATGGGGGCTTAGCCCCATTTTTAAGTGGAAACCAAGACACATAGAAACTGCTGTTAATACTGCCAAGCTTCACCAGAGTGTTGTTACACAGCTCCTGAACACTGTGGTGGCAAGCACCACATAAGCAGCAAAAAATTAAAAAATCTTCAAAGCAGCAGAAGATTAAGGGGAAAATTCCAGGCAAATTAAGTTACTCAAGCTACAGAATTAACGTTTTGGCTCCCCCCTCCAGTAGTATACAGAGGGAGCTTGTTTTCTAGTGGTCAGTGCAAAGAAAACAAAACACTAAGTATGTTACATCATTCTCCTTGAAAGCCATAACCTATTGTCAAAGTTAGCTGAAAGTGGCATGTCTTTTAACCACTTCTCTTGTTCCAGGAATCTGCCAGAGCAAATAAGGATTCTTATCCATAGCTGGTATAGGAAACAAGAAAGGCTTCAGGGATACCATTAAACCAAGAAAAATGCAGCAATGCATCAGTCCCAAAATAGGAGATTTCAATTGACAGTGGTGATCTTCTCTGGCTTCATGACAGTTTTTCTGAACCATATTGATAAAGAAAGTCATATGATGTAACTAGCTTGCACATGATGACTAAAACAATAATGCAGCAAAAAGTCATTAAGTGCTTTTTAAAGTACCAGCACCAAATGGGTCACTGCAGTACAAGGAGTACTTCAGAAAGGTACTAGGAAATGGCAACATATGAAGACATGGCAGTGTTCTATGCACAGTGAAATACTTATTTTTTAATTGCCAAGCACCTAAGGTGCTGAATGGACTAACTTGTCTTTCAGACATGTCACTAAATTGATATGCACATGACATACTCCTTTTGTGCAAAGTCACACTGCTTTCTTTTTTTTGTTTTTTAGAACTATGCCACTGTGTGCAAAATCAGCAGGTTATACTGAGGATTTCTGTAGGAGAGAGAAGTAATACTGAGAAAAACAAACCAACTATTAATCCAACAGAGTAGTCATTGCTGGCATTTTAAAAATGCGCCATAAATAAACAATGTAGCATTACCAGAAGAGCGTATGTTCCAAAAAAGATTAATTCTTTGTGAACTAATATTATGAAATACTATGCTGGTTTAGAGATACTTCTTCATCATGTTAATTATTTCATTATACATGCGGTAAGGTGCATCAAGGCCCCAGATGAAATCCAAATGTTCCCATTCTGGAATGCTTTTGTGGTAAACCAAGTTTGTGATCTGGGTGAGCAGCATAGCAACGTCCTTTGGGTCTGCCAGCCAGTCCTGTCCACCAGTCCACACTGCGGTTGGTACAGTCATCTCCTTTATTTTGTAAAAAGGGGGAGTAGACTGAGGGGGGGGAAATTAAAACAAAAGCATTAGAAAGAAGAAGTCTTTGGTGTGATACTGTAGTGCAGTGTAGCATACTAGCAAATCCAAGAAGAATGTGACAGATTCTCATTTTCTCTTCCTCTTTTGGGCAGCTAGAAACTCTAAGAGTCCTGAAATACTATAGCATACACAGAAGCAAAGATGTGGTCTGAAAAGTTTACAAGACAGCAGGATAGCAGAAGTCTCAGAATGCATCCTATCCAGGTTATTTCTAAACCCTAATAAAATACTACGAGTGATTGCTACTCTGAAGGTATGATGTTGCAATCCTTACCAGCCACTAAAGTGACAAGGAGCAAAATACTTGTAGCATTGCACACACCAATTTAGAAACAAACGTGGAAATTAAACAGGCTGAAGATAAACAATGCACATGAAATGACATTATGACACTATGCCTTATAGTGAGAAGTGCCATGGGATCTCATGATCTACGCTGGCAGCATCACCCTCAAGAAACAGTGTGCCATCACAGCTTTGTATCCAAGCAAGGGCTCCATACTGACTCAGGACTACCTCAGAGTTCTACAGTCCTGTTTTTTTTGGAAAAAGCAGATCTCCAGTTGGTTACTGGGCAACACTAGTGGCTCTTTAGCATGCAGCATAAACATAGCACCCAGAGAAGCACCCAAGGACTTTTTTTGTGACATTCTAGAATTACAACATCCATAAGCATATCTACCTGGTTATAGTGAGCCATATTTGCAGCCTTGCTTCCCCAGTCATAAGCTTTGAGTTCCCCAGTCTTCACAGCCTAGAAATTAACAAATATTCACACATAGAAAGAAGAACTGCAACACTTTTATTGCAGGAATAAAAAGAAGTACAGGTCATCTGCAGAACTGGCAAAGGCAACTGACAAAAGAAACAATGAAACGCCAAGTATCAACAAGGAGAAGTGTCATTGTTTTGCCCAGTGTCACAGGGATGGGAAACATAAACACTCAATACCATTAGACTTCAGCC